ATATATAGTTTTGGAGTTGCTGCTTTTCTATCCCATATTCAATAGTAAATAGTTTTTTGAGTAAAACATATATTTTTGACACATTTGAGTAATAATAATGAGTGTTGAAGAACCCGTCCCACTGTGTGAGGTTATAGAATAGTAGAATCAGACCATACACATGATGGGTCCATTCAAGCTCATACAATTCCAGTACATGAAAAAAGAAAACAAGTCTGCATGTTTGAGTGAGAGAACTTGGTTTTTAGTGTATTTCTAGAGATAGAAACTTTCACAGCTAATCTGTACCTGGGACCATCTTTTTTTGTTCCTGATGAGTAGTTTGTCTTTTAGGTGAACATAGAGCATGTTCCCTTCTGGCAGAACAAACATCAACCTGCCACCGTAGGGAGTCTCAATGATCGACACATCGTCAGGCTCTTTGTTGGTGAAGACCCTGAACGGAAGGATGTGTAGGTGATCAGTTTGAAAGATGGATAAAGAGAGACATGCAGATGTATACACATATATTTAACTGTGGGGTTATCTCACCTGTAAACTTCAATGACAACATGGATCAAGTCATTAACATAACTATTAACCAGCCTCTTGTTTGTGTCATCGTCAGTCATGAAGGCATCGTCCATTAAAATGTGACACTCAAAGTCAAAACAGTCCTTGTGATCTTCCTTTGGATCCCCTCGATAACGGTCCAGCCTGAAACAATAACAGATGACTGTATAACACAGCAAAAGCCTTTTCATTTAGGTCTTATTTTTAAGTGTGAACAGTCAGTGCACAGCAGGAAATAACAAGAATGACAGGAAAATGCATTTTTTAAATGTTAAGCAGCCCAAACACTTGGCATTTTAGGCCTTTGAATATATTAGGTCACAAGCTAATGAATTTGACCTTTTATTTACATTTTTAAGAACCACTTTACATCAGACTGAGAGGCTCTAAATGCCTCTCTGCTTAAAAATTTCACCTGTGTACTGACACCTGCCTGGTGCGAAATTAAACAGGTGGAGGTAAATCAAACCCATATTTTAACACGCTGTTATATTGCTCTTTAATGATATGTAAAAGAGAAATTAAACCCACGCTGTGTATGTGATACTAGTACACCTGGGGCTAGATGCTTTAAACTCAAACTCGTTATTTTCATCAGAATTATAAAGCCGTGCTTAAGCATGCTTGTTGTTAAATCTCAGGCACTGTGGATTTGTATGCAGCCTGATCTACTTTATGTCTGTATGTGCAGATAAAAAATGATATAATGATAAGAAATGTGATAAGAAGTTCTCATCATAGTGACTGGGGTATGCACATGCATGTTTTTGTGCCTACACTTATTTATTTGTCTGGCCCCTGATGTCTTCAGAGGTACTGGCTCTAACCTGAACATGGAGGTGAGAATCTTCAGCATCTCGTCGTAGGTCTCATGCCACATGGTGGCGCACAGATAGATCACACACTTCTGCATTTCATCATGGCTGTTAAGGAGAGGAGAAGTTGTAGCAGAATTTTTAAACATTTCATGCTGTGAACACGCACATCTTAGAAGCATCTGCTATGGAGGCTCATTAATGTTACACACCCATTGTGGAAATGGCTTCATAAAATGTGCCACATGTGCAGCTGCAGTGAATTTGGGGATGCAAATAAGCGAGTTTCCAATTTTGTTGAGGTCGTAGATGAACATCAATTGTTTTTGGGTCATGTCTGTGTGTATGTCTTTACACTGAGACGTGCTCTGCTAGCGACACAGTTTGCATGAACTCAACTTCAAATGCATTTTTTTCTACCTATACTTCAAATAAATTATTCACTGCATAATTGCATACTGCATTTCCTGTTGAAGAAATGTCTGTGCCTCTACTGCATTTGAAAAGTTATCACCCATTGTGATTGATTTTTTTTTTTTTAGGTTAATTTATGGCCACACTGAAATAATGTTCAACAGGGAAGCTATTCTCAGATCACACTGACCTTTCTTGGGTTTTGGCTTTTGGAACCTTCATCTTGGTGTTGAGTAGCAGAGACAGGTCAATGAAAGCAGATTCATACAATCGACGAACAAAGAGCTGAGATGTTCTTTCTATACGCTGGACCTAATGGAAGGTGAACCACAAAGCTATTTAAGTGTATGTCATGTATGTCATTTTTAAAAAAATCAGATCTCAAAAACAATATGCTTTAATATGTTGTGGTGTGGCTTTTCTGGGAGTTAAAATAAAACTTCCAAATAAAGAAATGACTGAATTCATTTAAAGCATACATCTTCTCACAGCCAATTGAGAGAAAGTGTGTGCATATGCGCTGTGTTTTTTTCTGATACCTTGATCTTCCATACGTAGTAGGTACATGTGACGAGGCCTGACCACATGCACACTCCCTCCAGTGCCAGCATGGCAAAAGGCCATTGAAAGTAGTGGCTGTCAATCAAATGGTAAATAAATATTTTGAGTGAAGTGTGCAAAGATAAGATGCTTAAATACAGAAGATATCGGTACTTAATATATTGCTATAGGACATGGCAGATGAGGTTGGACAATAAATACTTCCATTTTATTCGCATTAAAAAAAAATTATAAATGACCAGGCTGCTTGAAGTGTAAGAAGAATTACTGACTTGAAAAACTCACATGCTCATTAACACATTTCTCAGCATACAAACACACCTGTTTAGTGAAGTCCGACACATGCTCCTAGTAAGCTCGAGTAAGACCGCAGACGTGTTTTTGGAGTTCAGATAGAGCAACTTGTCACAAAATTCTGCAATAAAACAAACATTTTTTTTTAAGCTTTATTACATGTAGTTTAAATAACTGATTTATTTATAATTATAACAATTTATACATATAAATGATACAGTGCATCAGAGGAGTCATGGTGTATTTTTTCAAAGTGTATTTTCATGATGAAAATATTGAGCTACTTAAGTGGAAACAACGTTAAAATTCCTGGAAACTCCCCTGTGCTGAAGCGACTCATTAAACAATTAAAAACTGAATGCAAAACTTATTGCAAGTGAATTTTTTATGAAGGTAGTTCAATTTGTCTTGACCTAAAAAAAAAGAATAAAGAAAAAGGAAAAACTCACCTATGATGCTTTCTGCTTTTGTCCCATTATCCAGTTTCCATCCCAGTGTAAAAAACAGCACTATTCCCAGCAGTAGCATTGCAGGTCCAGTGCAACATAGAGGAAGGGCAAAACTCATCCTGACAGAATGAATCTTACAGGCCACAACTCCAAACCAGTGGCAGGCTGCTGAGCAGAAGGCCTGAGACAGAAGATGAGGGCAATATTTATTAAGCCTAATTTACAGTCATAAGGACAAAATTAAGATTGTAATGTACTTAATTTACACGTTAGACCATCCTACCACCATTAAAATATGTTTCTGAACCAATTCTTTGTGGAAAAGTAAGAAAGAAGTGCAAAAAAGTGCTTTACACTTCAAAACTCAGATCATAATTGGAACATGTGATCATTATCATGCCTCGGGCAAGTAAGTAGTGGATACAGAGACCCCTGACTGATTAAACCTGCGGCTGCTAAAGAGTCTGTGTGAATGAGATTTGATTGGTTTAAGTAAGTTTTGTCTTATTAAGTAATTAATCTAGACTAAACCTGCTGAGAGCCATAAAAAGAAAATGATCAAATGCAATAATGGGGAAAAAGTGCTTTTTGCTAAATCACCATCAGACACAGTTTTGTCTGCTACATGCAGTGATAAATCAGATTCTACATTTATGGCATCTAGTCTTCCCACAGTAATTTTAATACATGTTGCATGCTCTCTTCCTTCTACTTACTTGTAAGAAAAACAACACTAGTCCTGTTTTCAGGAGTTCTCCGTCACGCAGGATAAAATTGTCCCATATGATGGTTTTCGCAATTAGCTTGTGGTAGATCAGGTATACGGCCCCTAGAACAGACAAAAACAATTTTACATGCTTGCCACATTTAAAAATGCACCCCTCTTTCACTCAAATCATTTAGTTCACAATGAAACTATTTTTTATCACTGTTCTTTGTTTGTGGTCAAGTAAATATTGTTATGGTATAGAAATACATTGATTTAAAAAAAAATACTGTAAATAATAAGAGTGGTAACGTTTTAAATTCCTGCAGTGATAGAAGAAACAATTTAATCTGCAACGTGTACAGAGATACGGTACAGATAACATAAATCTGCACTGTTCTGTAGATTGGGTCATCTACCAATCGGAAGCTTGCGTTTAACTATCCGTAGGCAAGATACTGAACCCTGACCCCTGATTTGGGTGTAACTGGGTCAGTAGCTTGCAGTGCTTAGTTACAGTAGAAAAAACACTTTATAAAAATCAGCCCATGTATCAGAACATTTGCAATAATAATTTTATAAGTTAAGAAATACATTGGATTTTAAATAAATAAAAATAAAAGAGAACATATTAATAGTGGTTTATTGTGCAGAATAGAAAACCTAGATTTACTAATACTGAAAACAACAACTGAAGAATTCATCACAGCTGGAGAACATCCTCTGCAATCCATCTGCACCCCTGACATCACAGAAATCTGTTTGTTCTCCAGTGCGAATGTGGGAAATTAGATTTTTCATCACGCGTCCAGTGCAGAGTGGGTGTAATTTTGCCAGCATGTTTTTTTTTCTCCTCTCCATTCATTGCGTCAATACAGACATTGATGGCAAATAATTACCTATCACTAATATCCTCAGAATGCTGCTGATGACAAACACAAAGTCTCTGAAACCATCCAGTTGTGACAACGTATCCTGTGGGATAAGAGAGGAAAAAAGATCCTCAGTGATCGTGTAAAAAAAAAAAAGTTTCCTTATCATAAACATACAGACTTGGAAGAATGCAAGCTAGCTGAAGCTCCACTATAGAAAAACAGCGTACCTGCATGCGGTTGGTTGCTTGTAGTGAATTTTCCCACCAGCACAACGAGACAAGGAGGGAAGAGAAAATTCCAAGTGCCACGTAGATATAGCAGTCAGAACCCTGTCTGTCCACATATGACGTTACACGGACATAGTAGTCAATTCCCAGCATGCAGTAACCTGTTGGTCAAGTTAGTCAGTTAATAAATGCATATCTAAACTTTCTCTTATATCAGTAGATACAGTGTATATGGAATACGCTGTATCCACTGTCTATCCAAATGTCCTAAAAACACACCTATCACTCACATTTTCAGCTCCATAATATTATTCTTGGACTCTGCATTACAAAATAATCCCTATTTATCTCATTCTGAGGTACCTTCTCTCTCTTTTTTCTGAATACTTGAAACTTTGGCAAAGTTTAATATAAGTTTGCCAATATTTATACATTTTTTTATACACCATTTTTAAAAAAAAATCAATCATGGAACTTGGAGCTTGCAAGCTTGGTGCTAGATTTGAATCTTAAGCATCAAAACTTGACAGAGTTGTTGTTTTGGCAGTTAAGACGTTTTACATCATTTATATGAGGAAGTTGTTGTAATGAGGGCGACAGAATTACTGTGTCAGCATTGGATAAACAAGACAACAATGGAATGATAGTTTAAAAGAGCTGACAGACAATTAGTAGCAGATCAGTTCAGTCAAAGCCTGAAAACACAAACCTTGATTGAGAAGTGTTCAAACAATTGGGAGAAACGAGTGACGTACAGAACTAAAAAAATAACTGTCGACTCTACTGCTTTCTGCTTCATTCACTCCCTACCCCTAATTTGTGAGCAGGTAAGGTTTGCCAACATGGCTGTTAAACCTCCTACTATACCTGCTGTGAGCTAATTATCATAAAATGTAATTAAGGATTATATTATATTTAATTTTTGTAGAGCGGCTCTCGGTTTTTTGTGTTTTCACCACACCGAATCTATGAATGTTCAGGGGACAAAGCTAAAAAGAAAGCCAGGGAAACAAGCTTGCACATAGAAGCTAATTTAAAAGGAGTTACCAATAGAGGTGAGTATGAGGGAGCAGATTGGGAACACAATTTTCCAGTTATCTCGCTGTAGTCTGAATATTATCTGCATAATTGCAGACACAATGCAGACTCCTCCACTGATGAAGAGATTAGTCAGGACGTCAAACTGAGGCATAACCACCAGCACGAGGACTGAAGTACCGAGTGAGACCAGGACCTCAATGAGGCAAATCTGGAAAAGACACAAAACCAGAAAGATGTCCTCACTTATGCAGTGTTTCTATTAGTTTTGGACATGGAAATAGAAGCCATTAAAAATACTTTATATTCACCATTAATTTGTATCATTACCATCAAATGTACTTTTTACTTTTTTTTCTTTTCTGTCTTTTGACCTAAATAAACCTTTCTGTTATCGTCTGTATAATTCTTACAGAAATGGCAATAAATACACAAACAAGAACAACATAAATAAGAATAAGACAAAATTCTCTTTATAGCATTTTGCTGAAAATACTATTAGAAGATAAACTCATGATTAATTAACTGCGCCCAATGGGACCTACTTTGTGCCAAAGATTAACAAAAAAAACATTATTACTAAGTTTGTCTGTAACGATTTGTAATTTTACATTTTTCTGCTGTCTAGTTATAGGTACATAAACTAAAAATATGTAGAAAAACATACAAATGCCATGATCTTCATTTTGGGTGGTACAAAGCTCTTGAAGGAACATCGCCACAGCGATTTCAAAAAGACCAGGACGTTGGGGAAGACTAGGCAGAACATCATCATCAGCATGTAGAACTGTTTATCCTTTGGGGTGCGCCGGGACATTGGACTGGACAATGTTGACAACACCAGCAGGGAGCCCTGAAAGGATATATGATCACTGTGTGTTAAGAAAATTACTTCATTAAAGAACTTTATAATTTTTTTTTTAGGAAAGTGGTTAGCAAGTTAGTTGAATTGATATAATAAGGGTATAATATTTCCAGGAATAGGAACTAGATGGGGAATCCCAGTAAGGAGAGTGCTGGGTACAAAGGCATTCAGTACTGTAAACTCTGTCCTCTCATAAACAGCATGAATCTTCTTCGTGTTACTTTATGATCAGGCAGGCAGAGACAGATAAGCTTGTTGTCACATGATTTGTACTTTTCACACGATGCGTTCTTTGCTGAAATGCCTGAAAGAGTTTTTTTAGACATACAAAACATAAATTGATTTGCAGAGTGCGCTCTGATGGATAAACTATGCAACATGAATTGGGAAATTTCTAATATAATATATCAGTCAGACTCTAATACAGTACATGGTGGTCTTATTTTCCATATATGGAACACAGTACAGACTCAGAGTTTAAGAAAGCAATACTACTGTTCAGTGGTGATCAAATGAATCAAAATAATCCAAAGCACTTTCAAGAAAAAAACTAAAAACACTAAAACAACAACAAAGCCATAGATGCAGATTTTAAAGTGTCTGTCTATGAAAGAAAATACTAGAATCTGAGGAGTTGGAGGCAATTTTGCTGTGTCCAAAGTCAGCATTTTTTAGCCAGAGCTTGGACTTCAGCCTCAGTGGGAACCAGATGAATAACTTCACAGAGAGAAAAAGATAAACTCACAAATGGTCCTACCTTTGCAACAACAGCAGTGGTCAAGACAGCTAACCCCACCAAAACAGCCACTAGATGTTGAGCCAGCTGGAAACATCTTCTCTTTTGTTCCTTCTCAGCTCCTGCGGGGTTCAGCTGGAATGGATCCCATGTATCCCTGGAAAATAGATATTGGTTGACTATAAAAACAGAAAACTAGAACGACTGTTTAATAATGTACTAAAACAATGGTTACCTAATAATCTATTAAAGTCAGTTGAAGGATGACAGAGAATTAATAATAGAGTAGAAATATCTTTTAGTTTCATCTATGTGAAAGAGAAAACACTGAGCTGTCTCAGTTTACTGATATTGAACTACAGCGCAGTGCCCTTCCTGATTTTTTTTGTCTTTTGTGTGTGCATATTTTCTTTATCCTCAAAAGTTTCAGATCGTCATAAAAAAAAAAACATAGACAAAGACAACCCTAGTAAATAAAAAATGCTGTTTTTAAACGATGATTTCGTTTATTTATCAATTATCATTAGGGTTGTGTGATATGACAAAAATCTCATATCCCGATATAAGACATTTATCGTCCTGACAACGATATAAATCACAAAAATGTAATATTTTCAGTAAATTCTGTGAATCTTGGGCAATTCGACATGCGTGAACTTTTTCCAGCCGGGCGTCCTTTACCTGGATTTGAGTGTTTTAACCGATGCATGAAACTATACATTTTTAGACATAAGTTGTAATGGCCACCATTTTCTTTGAAAGTTGAAGTCTAAGATTTATTTTTTAGCACCTGACGGCTCTTTTTTTTCTTCTCATCCGTAAACTCTCTGCACACTCTTTCACGTGATTCAGTTTATTTTGAAAAGTCTCAACAGGATCTTGAGCTTTATTGTGAAAGGTTTATGTAGAAAACAAATAAGTGGACAGCGGAGCCACGCGATGGTTTTATTGTCGTTGTTGCTACCGACAACACGTAAAAACAGGCGCTTGACCGTCAGTAGTGTGGTTATATTAAATATAAGAGAAAGCGAGAACTCATGGAAAATAATATAGCCACTACAGTGGCCATCAAAACGATGAAAAAATATTGCTGTAAACAGTTTATTTTACGACACCACGAAACAAACGATAGGTTAAAATAGATGTTTTTATATCGTCATCCGATATATATCGGTATATCAAACAGCCCTAGTTATCATTTCATTTATTAAGGGAAAAAGTTCTCCAAACCAACTTAGCCCTATCTGAGAAAAGTAATTGTCCACTAAACCTAACAACTGGTTACACAACAGTTGGCAGCAAGTGCTGCAATCAAGCATTTGCAACAACTGGCACTGAGTCTTTCTCGTTGCTATGGAGGTATTTTGTCCTATTTGTCTCTGCCGAATTGTATTAATTCAGCCTACATTTTTAAAACACTAATGGCCTTTTTAAATTCATGCCAAAAAATCTAAGTAGGATTTAGGTTCATACTTTGACTAGGGCACACCAAGACCTTCTTTGGGCTACTCAGTGATGGACTTGGTGGTGTGGTTTCTGATCTTTGCCCTGTTGCATAACCCAAGTGAACTTGAGCTTCATGGCATAAACTGAGGGCCAGACACTCTACGTCAGAAAGTTCTGGTAGAGAGCAGGATTCACCCATTAGGGCTGGATCAGGTGACCCTGAATCCTCCCTTAGTTTTGCTGCAATAAGTGTAGGCTGCTGGGGGATTCCCATGATAAGTTTTTCCTTTTCAGTCACCTTTCTCACTCAACATGTGTTAATAGACCTCTCTGCATTGAATCATACTTGTTATTAATCCCCGTCTCTCTTTCACAGCATGTCTTTTATCTTGTTTTCCTTCTGTCACCCTATCCGGTCGCAGCAGATGGCCGCCCCTCCCTGAGCCTGTTTGTTGTTTTAAATGTTGTACTGGATTCATGAGTTGTCCATGTGCTCTTGAAGTAATTTTGGTGGGCCTGCCACTCTTGTTCCAAATTTTCTCCTTTTGTGAATAATAACTGTTATTGTGGTTCATGGGAATCCATGGCTTTGTAACGCTTGCCAGACCGATAGATGTCAGAGACTTTGTCACACAGGTTCTGTTTATGTGACTTCTTGATTCCACAGGTCTGTCAGTAATCAAGGCTGCCTGGCAGGTCTAATCAAACTGAACTCAGGTTTCCCAAAAATGTGGTTAATCACAGTTAATTACTTTAACTAATATTGTTGCTCAACTTTAAAATGATAAATAATTTAGCCCCTCGTTGTCTTGTTGATCTTCTTAGTCTATATGTCCCTGGGCTCGCCCTCAGGTCTTCAGCCCAATTACTCCTGGCTCAGCCTAGCTCTAGGCTTAAATCTAGGGGTGACCGTGCTTTTGCCCTGGTTGCACCGAATCTGTGGCACAACCTTCCTATCGCTTTCCGTGCGTCAGACTTTTTTTTTAAAAACTCATTTATTCAACATAGCTTTTCCATCTAGTTAGTGTCCCTATTTTATATTTGGTTCAATTTCTTATTTATGTACTTTATCTTTTAGCTATATCTGTTCTTAGTACTTTGTTCTTATATTCCCTTCTATTGCCGTATAATTAGTGCCCTTAACCTGATGACATATGTGGTACTTTGTTAATAGTCTTTTATTTAATGTCTTAATTTTCCTGTTTTTATTGTAAAGCACTTTGGTGTACCGCTGGTCTTTTAAATGTGCTATACAAATAAAGTTGTATTGTATTGTATTTAATTATCTTCCTGATTCCTGAAAAACAGGAAGGGGGGCGAGGTTTTCACAGCACTGTTTCTTATCATGATACTTTAACATTTGTATGGTCATGACTACATTTATTAGGTGCAAATTGACTGCAGGGACGTTTTTAAACGAATATGTGATAAACCATGGGTGCATAGTCAATGGATGAGCCTGTAACAAGGAATTAAGTGAAGAGTTTTACATTTTATACCTCAAACTATTGCTGATTGTGATCATGGTCTGTTGGGTGTTGGTTACAGCACAAAATGAAGAATCCTCTGTTATCTACAAATCTGCCAAAGCCCTCAGTTCATCGCAAAGGTCAGAGTACAGTTTTTATTGAACAGTATTCTTTCAACAGTGCGCTGCATCTCTCTCTCTTTTTACCCATTTTTGGGGGGTCTGTGTTTATTTTTGTCAGTGATTGTCACTTGTCAGTGTGAAATATAGCGAAAGCTTTTAGCATGAACGGCACAGTGTATGGTTTTGGTGCTTCCAGATTAGAATGTGACTGGCACGCAAACAGGCATCTAAGCTAAGACATTCTCAAGCAACCCTTTGGCCATAATTACACTCGATATCTGTGTTTCCTGGCACATTAAACGTCACCATCTCTGCCACCCCGATGATTAATACAGAGTGCAGAATAATTATCAGGGTGTGGGTTTTTTACCTTGAGATTATGCTACACTGTGATATCTGGCTTTGCCATAGCAACTGAAATACTGTTAAGTCAAGGTGTAGTACAAAATGGATTGATGCTGGCACAAGGTTGTTATATAAGGACTAATGATATTACACTATAGCTGTTATTATTATTATTATTATTATTATTATTATTATTATTATGTGACGCTTGATAACTATTGGATTTTTAGGATAAATGACAGTGGCAGTTTTTAGGAAGTAAAAAAGTCTGATATCGATATACTGGATAATCTAACTTTTTAAAAGCAGCGAGAAAACAAAAGTCTGCTGTCTTTAGCTTTTCCCCCAATGGCAAGTGACGAGCAGACAAGCTACTTATTTTTTTGTGTATTTATGAAACTAGTGAGTCTTCATTAGACACGATATTGATGGAAGAAATGTTACTTTTCAGATGTTTCTACCCAAAGCTCACTAGGATACGCCACCGCGGCCCCCTATGGTGAAAACTATTCGAAAAAGATTTCCTGCTTTCTGGAGAGGTATTTAAAAAAATAGCTCTCAGCTCCTTTGCTCTGTGACGTCAGTAAATCATTTCCTTATGAGTTTATGGAGGAACTTGATTCAAGTTCTTTTTGTAAATTATCCCTAACCCTATAAAAAAAGGAGCATTATCCAAAGCTTTGTCGATCACAGGTTATTAGTCAAAAACAAAAACACCCCCAAAAACACCAAGATGGTGACAGTGGAAAGACGCAGCTCGAAGCCTTGGTAATCCAGTCAGTGAGGTAGATTTATATGAAGAGCAATTTGTGCTGAAAAGGCCAGCAAAATCAGGAAAGGACTTCAGTTCCCCAGACTCAAAAAGTTTTTACAAGGATGACTCACTATGACAACAAACTTCAGATTAGAATATTTACTTATCACACTGTATGATTATCTGCAGACTGTAATCACCCAGATTCAACTTGGCTCCATCACATCATAATGTCATAACTGTCATAAGGCGTACCCCTGTTTAAGAGTGCACTCGATTACATGGCCCATTAAAGCTCAAAAATCTTTTATTTCAGTAAGGTTTTTTTCCCCATTAAAAATTAAAACTGTCACACAGTTTGGCTGCCATATGTTAGGAGTTTGGAAACTGGTGCACTGGCTCACTTTGCTGTGACCTTCTAGTCAAGTTATATTACTCTCTAAAGTTGCGTAACATTTAATAAATTGGGAAACAATTAACTGCAATGATTTATATAAAAGTAGTTAATATTTAAAAACTTTATAGACACCACTCCTAGCTTTAGTTTAGTTTAGTGGAAGTTTAGAGGCTTTCAAATCAAAAGTTGCTGATAAAATATTGTTTTATTTTTCTTTATAACTTCATAATCACAACAAGGGTGGTGTAAAAAAGCTAAACTCAGAGACAGTGTCATAATTTTTGTGTCAGATATACCTACATGGAGAATTTAATTACAACTTCAGCGTGTATTTAACATTTGAAATGGAGGCCCTAACAGCAGGCAGTAACAGTGGAGATGATATCAGGTACAGCAATAAAGCGAAGCACAGCAGTGCACAGAACAAATTAACTGTTTTCTTGGCTGTGAATTATATCAAATGGAAACCTGGTAACACAATACTTTATGGTGAAAAATAATATATATATATGTAATATCCATTACCAACACATATCTCACCAACAATTAACCTCCTAACAATGATGAAGAGGTTAATAAAACTGGATAGCGTATCCAGGGACAGGAAATTGAATAGCTGCCTGGTTCAAAGCGGCATGTGGTGTTGAATGTATTTCTGTCTCATTCTCAGCGCAGCAAATAGGAAACAACTTTAAAGCTGCCGTGATGACATGAAACACATCAGAGGCAATGTTTTTACAGTGAACATAGACTAAAACCAAAAAGCTTACGTTACTCACGATTCCGAAATTTCGATAATAAGGGAAAGAGAAAATGCAAAGATACAGCGCTAAAGAAATTTATTAGACCACAGATGCCACAGATATCCTAAATTAACAGTACTGCTAATTACTAAACACATTTTTAATGTTTCTGTAAAGGTTAATTCACCACTATCTTCAAGCTCTGCAATCAAAATGATATTTTTAAAGCACATTATTCTTTTTTTGATTAAAAGGCCAAATTACAGTCATTTCCTTCCATTCCTGAATAGAAAATTAGTTTTAGTGGTTAAATGTTATACTGAATTAATTTCCGACTTCTCAGAGAAGTCCAGTGAGCTATTTGGTAATACAACATGAATTTCGTTTTTATGGCTTAATAAATAACAATACAATCTTTCATTTTAAACACGTTTTTGAGATGTTTCTAAAATATTTGTGTTCTTGTTTTTATGTCACCCTATCAATACAGATGTTACTTTTGATTTAATCAGGTGAAATTGTTTCTTTTTTTTTATTCATATTTTCCTTCTTTTTTTCCTCCCACCGCAAGTTATCATGCTTCCACAGCACACAGCCAGTTTTATTAAACACCGCATGGGTCACAAAGCATAAAAGACCCAGAGGAGAAGATGGATTTCTACTGCCTAGAAAGAAAGTGTCTGCAAGACCGCTTTCTTCCTCCATTGTATGTATTTGATCAAGCAGGTTAATTAAGATCAAAGCATGGTTGGTGGACTCGTGGCCCGTCACTCATATAAATGGGATTTCCATATTTAAATTCCTCTCATGTCACATATTATGCTCAGTTTCACATCTGTGCCATTAGTTAAAGCAGAAATGAAACCACATAACCTTTATGATGCAACACACACTCTTGAAGATTTTTTACCTGTGCCTTCCTTCTCGTTTCTTTCCTCTTTCTCTCAGATCCTCCATTCTTCTTGTTTACTCCACTGCATCAACCAGGAACCTAAAATAGATCGTTTAAAGATAGTTTAAAAAACTGGCTTTATAGCACGCATTTTAAATTAAACCATGTTCAGGACATAGACAAAAAAAAAATCTTTAAACAATATCGGCATCGACTTAATCGACACATATTTAAATGTAAAACATAGAGATTCTTTACCTTGATAACTGCCCTATGATTAAATCTTTTCTTAAGTGTCCAACTATCCACCCTGCTGAAGCTCTTGAAAAAGTCTGCCTTCAGTGTCAACCCAAAATAAAAAATAAAATACAAAATCAAACACCAGCTACTGTTTTAAAATGAAGTAAAACATCAATAAAATGATGTGAAATGCCAAATCAAGACTCCACACAGGTGTAAAATTCAATTTAGAAATGCCTATGCTAATAATTGGCCTGACCCAGCTGCCTCGCTCCGTTGGTCTGTCAGGGAGTTTGTCCTTTGTACATCTGATTTATTTTGTGCCTTATCACAGTTTATGAAAGTGACACCCATATAGACAGTAAGGCACAACCCCCGCATGTATGTGCTCTGATGATCATAGTTTATGAAAGCTATGGAAACCAGGAAGTTTGTGTGGATTTCGCAGGAGACGATATTTAACCACGACCAAAGGTTGCTGTAATCACTCATCATGAGTAAGCTAAACAAACTAGGAATTTGTTCCTGCTTGTGCGGGTGATGGAAAGGGCTCAAAGCTTGTCACTGATCAGAAATTTCTGGTTATCTATCCACTTCTTTATGAGGGGCGGTAAAGTGGTACAAGGTTCAAGTGGTATGCACAAATGTGGACTCTAGCCTGCTTATACTTCTCGTACAGCTGCTTTTGGATCACTGTTTGTGTACACACCCTTTGTGCATTAAGTAACTGTTACACTGATAATGACTAAAGTTAACCCTGGGCGATAACAATGCTTCACAGAGGGGCACTACTAATATGTTAGAGGGTCTCATCTACATGAGATGAACAAGTAATTCCTCTCAGTACAGCTAAATGTCATCACTGGGATATGACTCCAAGATGTCGGCTATGGTATTTTTGGAATGAGTTTTGTGTACTTATTAGAGGTAAACCTGAATATTTGGTCTGCTGTCAATCCTTTTACTGAAAGCAGAGATCATGTACATAATTTATGTTGGTTCATGCCATCGTTGCCAATCTACTATTTTTTAAATGACCTGACAGAAAATCTGCCAGTAAAAAAAAAAGTAAAGTCATATGTTGCTACCACCAAGGCTGTATATGAAAGATGTCTACAACTACGATGAAACCTATTATTTTGATGATTTGAAATGTAATCACTTTGCTTTGTGTGTGAAATTTTCATAATTAGAACCTGCTAATGGGTCCTATGTAACCGCATGAAAATAAAAAGAAAATATCAGAATTTCACTCAACAAATACAGACTTTTTGGACTGGTTGTCTGTCAAAGCAGGCCGTATCATCAGTCAGGGCATGCTTTTTTGTCTCACAATAAAAATGCCTCAAAAAGGCACCAATAGCAGAAATAGGTGTAGGTGTCCAGTTAAGTGACTACGTTTATTGAGGTGAGTGATGGCTAAAACTTCAAAATCCAAAGAGCTGAGTTATCTAAAAAAAGTCACTACCCTATGGGAATTATGAAATAGGAATCAGCTATATAAATTTACTTATCAATTTACTTATCAGTATCCTGCGTTTAAAATGAGAGCATCTGCGAACTGAGCTGGATGTGGATCAAGCTACAAGTGGCTGTTTGAGGAACTGCAGCTGTTGGTGCCTCCGTGTTTCTGTTTATTACTATTTTTTATTATTTTAAGGTTAAATCCCCGTTGACTGTTACTGCAGCGAGAACTATTCTTCCCGAGGTGCACAGATGAAAACAGTACAGAACATTCCAACTCAAACTACGGACAAAGTGAATAAAAGAACACGATGAAACTCAAAAAGCGGTTTCAACTTCAACAGCAAATAGTCAGATATACCACAAAGCAAGGAAAAAATATTACAGATGTGTGCTTCAAGAATTAGGTGCTGCTCTCACCACCGAAGGCACAGGAGAGCAGAAGGAAGGAATAGCAAGAGGCTAGTGTGGAAATGCTACAGTTGCTACTGTAGAAAGTGGCGCCATAAACAAAACAGTGGGTAATGTCATGATTGTGGTTGTATCTAGCTTTTAAATACACCTAACTCACATGTTGCCAGTATTTTTGTGAGAGCTGCTCTAATACTTCATAATTAATAAACTACTTTACTTGTAATTGACTCAGTGAATGCCAAAAATACTGATAATGCTTATGTTGTTTTCACCTAAAGCTCAGTAGGCATCACACTTTCGAATGTTGAATTACACTGTTATTATTTTCTAATTTGATCTAAATCCAGATTTATGGTTTGGGGTTCAACATTAGTGGAAACGTTTTTAATCTCTGGGCTGAACATGGTTTAAAGTCCACCATTTTTAGCAACACGTAACAACACGGAGCTTCTTTCTTCTTGCTGGGCTCATGTGAAACCCTGTTTGACTGTTACCACTGGGTGTCAGTACAGGGCTTTGAGTTTATCCTGTGCTTATGCTTGAATGATTTTCAGTTTCATGTGTGTATGCAAAGAAATGGATTCTATCCATGAATGTTTGTGTGGGTCAATAGTTTCTCCATGCCACTTTCATCTTCGTGTGCTTTTTTTTCCTGTATGTGTGCAGCTATGGAGCCATGTACTTGAATGTTAATGTGTCCGTCTATTTGTGTGTGTCCATGTGCATTTTGTCCATATGTACGTGCAGTGTGAGCTCAAAAGAATGTGTCTGTCAGTTTGTGGACTCTCATTAAGATGCTTTGCCAGTGCATAATAAGCCGGCCATATGGTCAACATGGCAGTGGCATCTCCCCCCACCTTCAGGTGGTGGAGTTTGAGAGAAAAGCAGTCCCACAATAATAACAACACACAGCAACCACAGTGCAAGGCAGGAGAGAGAGAGAGAGCAGATTTAATGGGTTTAATTTGGTGAAGCAATGAAAAACCTTTATAAAACATCTCTAATTGTTCATAAAAGGAGCAGGCGTGGCTAAAAGACCACAGGAAGTTATATCAGGCATGAGTTTAGCCTTTCTCAGTAGCTGTGATCTCAGCTCAACAGTCCTGCTCCATGATCTGTAAAATGTGCTCGACATCACAGAGGTGATGTCACAGAGGGTATTGTTAGTGCTATTCACAGCTGATGCCTCTCAGATCTACAGAAAGGTCAGTGGCAAGGTATCCATGCCTGACTCCAATGTGGACTCGCTGAACTCTTTTGTGCCAAACTATAATTAGTAGCCATATGGGCTGTGTGTTGAGAATAAATACCTGCTGTAGACACACATGGACATGCTATGTTAACTCTGAGTGTTTATCAGTGGCTCAGAGGTTATAGAAGTGCAAGAGTTGAGCATGCTAATTAATCAAAATTTAGAATTTAACCCCTTTAGCATCCTCTTCCAGAAGACAGTTACTTAATTGCTCATAAATTAGACACTTTAGGTTAAAGGTGTCTGATGCCACTGTCCATTCTGCAGCTGTAGCTTCTAGCTTTCAGCTTATTGATTCTGATGTTTATATTTAGATTCCCATATAAGAATGTGAACAACCACTCCCAGCCAGCTTGCTCATTGTGCAGTATCTGTCCAGAATGAAATGGTGCTGCAGTAAATGAGGGTGTTGTGATAAAAGTCACAGCTCCTGCAAGCCCAGGGGACTTAGATAGCTTTCTCAGCACTCCCAGCAGTCAGTAGACCAAACTAGGGCTAAAACGCTTTTAAAGACTTGAAGTATATTTGAAAGTTAGACAGAAAGCGGACTCCTGTGGGATGTCCATGTTGCTCTGTTTCTGTTTGATGTAGCCAGTAAATATTATCAGGCAGTAATTTGATGCATTTTCCATGAATAAAAAAGTTCATAAAAGGAATCCCCAGCCCTCGTTGTATTTTCTTCCCTCTAGTAGTCAAAAATTATTGCTTTGAAACTACCATTTAATGTGTACTTGAGAAAAACATTTAGCTTCCAACTGTTTCAGCAGATATGTTCAAAAGCCAAAGAAGATTGTACTGCCACTGAGCTGGATGAATGGGAAAGCAAGTATTGCTGATCAGCACACTAAGGGAAAATAAATACAAGCAGAAAGAAAGTTATGAACAGCAAGGGCTTTTTGCTGGCTTGAGGGCAGCGATTTGGTCTGATTGTGCTAAAGAAAAAACAAACAAAAAAACAGCATTTAGGTCAGGATCAGTTAAGGTAAAGCACCCTCCAATCCATTCAACACACACAGCAAATATTTTTCTCTCCTGTGACCAACTTTAGGCAAGGCAAGGCAAGGCAAGTTTATTTGTATAGCACAATTCAACAACAAGGTGATTTAAAGGAAGTCCCATAAAACTAAAATGACAAAACAGTGTTTACTACAAGCCACGATATAAACTGTGCAAGATATCAATTTGCAGCTCTATCTCGTATAAGGATTTAATTCATATTCAGCAAAAATGCAGGTTTTCTTAGTAAAGCATGAACAAATGGACTCAAGGACTCAAGGAGTCCATTTGTTCATTGACAAATACATTTTTAATGAATTTACCTTTGCCGCTGCTCCTTTCCAGGCAACAGCTTGATGAAACAGAACTTATCACCCTCCTAACAAACAAATACATGAGCCAGGGCTACTACAACCAATAAAACTGTTGGGGGTATATTTTAATTTGAACCATTATACTTTAAAGCCCTGTAGTTTTAAAAATAAATGGTCATAAACACAGGCAGCTCAGTGAGGCAGCGGTTAAGAACATCAGAATAAGAAGAGGTTTGATTGTTGAGTTTGCATTTTTCCTGCGTGTGTTCTCTCTGAATAGTCTGACTTCCTCCCACAGTCCAGAGACATCTACGTTAGGTAGTGATTCTAAATTGGGCGTAGGTGTGAATATGAGCATGAATGGCTGTCTGGCTCTCTGTGTTAGTGACCTGTACCTGTTGTGACTCTTGTCTCTTGTGACAGCTGAGATAGTCTTTAGCGCCCCCTGCCTGTTACCCCGAATGGAGACGCGATTTGGAACAAGTTTTTCCTCCTTCAAATATGGAGCTAAGAAGGATGTATCTCTGGGAGAAAGTCATACTCCTTCCAGATTAGAACATTTCCTTTGAAATGTAATTGAGAAAACACTTTAACGGAAATTAAAATCTATTTTTAAGAGACACCGTTAGGAACGAGATTTGATAAGAATTTAGCTATTTTGATTCCATTGTTGATGTCACTTTTCGATTTGATTTAAATAAAGCTGAGTAACATATGTGGTTTACTCTACTGGTATTGCAGTATGACATATTTGTTTTAATATTCTTTGGAACTGCTTATACTAGATTAAGGAAAAACAATGATAAAAATCAACTAACAGAAATAAAATAGTGTGCAAAGGTATTAAGCCACCCTCCATTTCTTTATTTTGCCAAGAAAACAGAAAATTTTGTTTGTACAACTCAGTTCAGTTCAAATTGGCGACCTTTATTCTTCAACACAGCCTGAAATCTCTTAGGAAAGCTTTTTTGCAATCTCTAACTTATCTTCAAGAACAAGTGCTTCCAACCAAAGCTGTTTTTTGTAAACTGGTTGCCTTTCGTTCAGCAGTCTGTCAGGATGATCCCACACTGCTTCAATATTGTTGAGGTCCAGGGTCTGGAGAGGCCATTGCATGTTCTTCTATCCAGGTATGCTTTTACTGCTTTGGCAGTGAGTTTGAGATCATATTCATGCTGAAAAATGAAGCTGCTGCCAATCAGTTGCTTTCCGGATGGTGGTTCAAAATCTGTCAGTACTTCTCTGTGTTCTTAATTCCATCAGTTTTGAGAGGATCACCATTTATACTGTACTTATTGATGATGATTTAACCAGAAATATATTTGAAATATCTATCTATCTATCTATCTATCTATCTATAGGGGTACCACTTTTTTGTCCTTGTTGGTCGAAAAAAAATTATGCCTGTCAAACTGTATTATCTTTGGTATTTCTCATAGATTCAACTGAAGAAACGAGAATATTTTTTTTAGTAAAGACAAATCTGGTTCATCCTTTGAGTTAGGAGTCATTTTTATTTTTCAGTGATTCATATGCTAGTGTTAGGTGTCTCAATAATAGATTAAAAACCCTCTAAGAATGGATAGATATAAGAACTGGACTCAAAATTTGTGATAAAGCAGCCATCATCCAAAGAAAAACCTAACTCTCCAAGCTTTAAAAGAAAGCTTGGAGAGTTATGAGAGTTATGGTTGATGACTGCAAACTACAGTGACTGAATCAGGCTATAAATGCGCCTCTACACAGTCACTGCCAATACTAGTATCCAGAGAAAATCCTAGGGTTGAATTTATTCTACTGATGGTGCAGTTTTTCTGTCCAAAAGATCTCATTCTGCTCTTTAATCAAACTCCACAACCGGAGCCACAATTCTCATCTCAGATTTTGTTTTTCTCCCCTGCAGCCTTGATAAACTATGTGTAACAGCATGTGAACCAGTTCACCACCTGCTGCTGCAAATTTTGGTTGGAGAAGCCCACCAGCTTGCTTTGGAAGTCCCGGATCTCGCTATGACTACCGCTGCCAGCTACATGGCAAGATGGTGTGGTTGGGAACTGTTTGCACGACACTGGAGAGAAGCGGCCCAATGGTGACCTGGCAAGCCTAAAGGTATGTTAACCCAAGCAGTTACTGAAATTTCTAAATAAAATTCCCAACATTAAAACGCTTTCTATTAACATAAACTGAATTCTAACCCTTTAAAACAGATTTTATGCCAAATTGTTAGTTCGGCCATATCTATGTGTTGGAGTTTGGAAAACTATCTGTATTTGTGTGTGTTGGTAAATGTCCAGAGAGAATGCTGAATATATAAGTGAGGCCATAAGGTAGATGTTTATCATAAGGCTCATATATACTGACTCTATTACTGTTCTACCAGTCAAACTGAATATTACTGCGGCTTCCATTCTGCTGTTTATTTGAGATGCATGGAAACTGACTCTGCTGGCTATTATATCATTCTTGTACATTCATTACAAGACGAATACCATAATTGTATGAATTAATATGGTGGAAATATTGACAGTGAGATTGACTTCTCTCTGCTCACTTATTGAGAATTATTAATTGGATTTGTGAGGCTGACAATGCCATTGTCCTAATCTTTTAGTATTAAATTATACCGTCAGCAAAGTCCAGTGGTACAGTGGATCATCTGGCAATGGTGGTTCGATTCCTCACTGCTGATTCCATGCCAAAGTGGCCTTGATCAGGACTCTGCACCCTTATGTGCTCTGGATGAGCAGGTCAATGACATTACCTTCTTGTTAGAGTGAGATGTACTCTTAAGTTGGTGACCTACATCTACACTGCTTCACATTTAATGTGCTCATCATTATAGACTCCAGACTCGCCCGGGACATTACATTACTCAGACTTGCAAGTAAATTATCAATGAGTGCAAAGATCTCCAGGTCACCTTCAGCAATAGATAGTGTAAAGTTGATGTTTTTAGACCAAGCCAAAAGAATATATAATGGTTAATTAAGCATGCTTTCTTGAGCTAGTTGGGGCACCTCTTCTGTACGATGTGTGTAGCTCATAACAATTTTTTAAGTTAGCTTTTCATGTGCAATGATGTTTATTTTCAGGTTCAGTATACCTATATATATCTTTGTCAGTAAAGACTGGTGTTCATTTGAAGTGGCTTTTAAAGATATATGGATAACAGTGTAGGTTTACAACAGCTACTAGATCTCTACCACAAAATGTTATCAGTGCTAATAATACTGCTTTTTAAAATAACAAGTTTGCAGACTTAGTGAAACAAGTTTAATTAAGAAGGAATCTCATTCATTTCAGTTAAAATTCATATTTGAGTCTGTTCGTTCTGTATTTATTGGACTTTTTTGCCACCAAAGTGCTAAAATTATTGGCACTGTTTGCAGTCTTAGTGCTGGTAAATTACAAAAAAGTAGGTCAGAAGAGTTTAGATTTTTCCTCTCTGAACAAACCAAACAGAATATCAGATTTTTTTGGACAGAAATACTGGAATAAAGCTTAGGTTTGATTCATTTCACTTCTGTTTAGGACATTTAGTTTAAAAGGGAAAGTGAATTTTTTCCCCCACATTGAACAAAAGACCTTCTGGGATATAAAAAAGCAAGATCAATTTCTTTTTTGGATAAGATAATTGAAATAAGTGAAAACTCTGCTTGTCCTTAAAGAACAATTTGCAGGAGACTGCAATGCTGTATAACACCGAGAATTACTTTGTACTTCTTTTTTTCCTACCTCATGGCTTCTTATTGTAGATCACATTGTTGAGTGTGTGTTATTAGGTTTTGTCTGTCTTTCTAGAAGAAGAGATTCTGAAGTAATTGAAGGCCGGCAGAAAAATGCTTCTCCTCTCTTTGAAGTTTCACAAACTTTACTTTAAACTGGCTCGTTGTTACATATACAAAATGATACGAATGTTTAATTGTCTATGGTGCTTAAAAAGGCAGCACTGCAGTTACTACGTCATCAAGGGTCAAGCAATTTGGATAAATAATTTTGTATCATTTTATATGATGTAGCTCTAGAGGTAACTTATATTGACTGTCTGAAAGCATAGCAATTAAGTTTGTGTTTAAAGACATCAACCGCAGGGATGGAAATCGCACAATAACTCACAATGATGGTACAGCGATTACTGTTCCAGCTTACACCTTGTAGTGCAACCTGGACGCATTCTAAATGGTGCGCCTGCTAGTCATTGGGTGTTTCATGTCTTAACATCACCTGGGCAAAACAGCTGGGGGTGATCAGGCCCTGACTTGTCTCCAGGTACACATCACAACATATCACTCCTCTTGAGCCAAAGCTTTTCTGTAGTTTGATGGCTTTACTCCTTTGCAGATTGCCAAGAACTTTAGGTATGGGTGTAGACACTGACCTGCAAAGCCTGTACATCCCACCTCCACAGGCTCACAGAGCGCCATCCACTCCTGCCTCTCCCGATTAGCTACCAGTGCCACATATTTTTGCGCTTTTTTCCTTCCTGTTTCTTTTTTTCAAGGGATGGTCAGCTCCAGCAGTATGACTTGCTGGCCTGAGTGTGACATACAATACAATTTTATTTATAGCACGTTCAAAAACCAGAGGTATGCCAAAGTGCTTCACAGAACCAATTAAGAGCAATAACAGATACAAATACAAATATATTGACAGGTGGGAGACATAACTAACCAATAATTCACCAGGCACAGTAGGTACAAGCCAAAAGGCTGAAGGTTAAATCATTATAAACATAATTCAGAGCAAAATAAATAAATACATTTGAGTACACTTACAAATGCGGGCTCTAGGAAGCCGGGAAGGCTAGGCTAAATAAATACGTTTTTAATCAAGACTTAAAAGCTTGAATTGAGACGCGCAAATAGCTTGAGGGAGACTATTCCAGAGGTAGGGTGCAACACAGGCGAATGCACGGCCACCTCTGGTCTAATCCCCGGACATATTCCCTGTTTATAATAATGTCCAGGAACCTCACGTGTCTCTAGGTCAACCACGAGCCGCCAGTCTCTTGCTGTTGCCAGCAGCCCACGCTGTATACTGTGTCGGGGGTGCTGCTCCTCCCCTCTGTGGACCAAACTGATACGGTTTGCCGATTTTTGCTGTTTGTTGTGGTTTATCCGAACAGATGATGTCTGCTAATGCCGGTAAAAACTTGGCCATGGTGTTAGAATTACTAGCATTACTAACATTACTCTTCCAAGCTCCTTGGCAGTAGTTGAAAATATGCTGCAGTGTCGCCTCCTGCTGGCAGAGATGGCCAGGAGGTGATCAGCCAGGCCTAAGCTGTGCAGGTTAGGGCCTCTCAAGGACATCTTATACCACCATAAGTTCTTGTGTTATTATTAGTTAGGATTTAGTTGAGTTTTATTCTAGTTTTTGTTTCATCTAGGTCTCTATTGTTATGTGTCATGTTTCCAGAGTTGTGTCCACGTTGTGGAGCTTGTGTGTCATGTCTACGTCTCTCCATGTTTCCTGTTTTATTTTGAAGGGTCTAGTGTTTACATGTTCAGTGTGTTTTGTTCAACTTCCCCCTGTGGCCTCATGTGCATTTGTGTCAGCTGTGTCTCTCCAGGTGTTTCCACTTCCCCCATTATCCTCTTGTGTATTTAAGTCCTCTGTCTCCTGCTTTTCTTTGTTGGGTTGTCTGTGTGTGTTCATGTTAAGTCACAGAGTTTATGCGGCCCAATGTTTAGGTTCATGTTTGGATCATTTCATAGTTACTTTGTCTCCTGTTCAGTTTCATGTTCTTGTCTCTCGTTGTTGTTTTCATAGTTAGTTTTTCCCAGTTTAGGTTTCAGTTTAGTTTCGCCTTTGTTTCACCTCACCTTGTTTTTCAGGGGTTTTTTGTATCAGCCACTATAAAGGCTCGCTTTTTGTTTAAACACCAGTTAATTTCTCCCGTGTGTGCATGTTGCGTCAGTTTCATAAACACACTGGCCTACCCCACCGTGATAGAGCCTTCCAGAACCTCCTTACTTGACCATACCCATGAACCTAATATAACAAGCTTCGTCCTCTTTGGTACATCCTGTTGAATGAGTTGGTGGCACTGTTGTCCCTGAGTGCTGCTGGACAGAGAGCTTCAGTAACTTTCAAGCCTTGGTTAATTGGTTGCCTGTGTGCCCACCAACTGTATGTTAGTTAACATCAGTTTACCTTTCTTTTAATGAGCTTCACCTATGAGGAATCATGATTTTGTGACTCTGGCAGGTAAGTGTGGCATTTCACCCTCTTCAGAGTGCTTAAATGTTCTTATAAATATTTCAGTATGTTTCACCATTCCTTTGCAAAGTCCCATTCTGTACACTCTAGCTGAGTGTCTTTGTCACTATCTTAAATTTTGAAACCGTCATGAGAAACGTGTGTTTTTGACTGAGAAACTGACACTGTGCTCTAGGCTGGTAACTTATCAGTGAGATGGTAGTGCACCCACTGCTTTATCCTCCTTTTTATTGGAACAAAGACCATCATTTACAAATGGAACATTATGTATTTAACAAGGATTGAAACCTTAAACTCATCAGAAAATGTTTACTGAGGGTATAAAGCAGTGGAGCACTGGTTCAGAGCATAAAATCTGCTTCAGTTATCTTGTCATCCACCACTTTGGAACAACTGAAAGACTTTAAGTGTTGAAGTTTCATACTTATTCCAATGTAAGGCCTTTAAATAGGCGTAATGTATTCACTCCTTCTGGTCCAGGTTAGCACCTGGGAGTAGAATTCAGAATTAATTGTAGCTGATCGGGGCCAGACTGTTACAGTAGTCCAGCCTGCTCAGTGAGAAGCATT